ATTAATCAGCATGTGAAACATGCTACAGAGGAGTCATTTGGAGTCTGACAGCATGTGTGGAAGTTGACCTGCTCTCTGGATTTCATCCTCATGCTGCCGGGTTTCTAGCAGTGAACCTGGGGTAACCCCTTCCTATATCTCGATGGAAGTATAATTGCACTGTCTTGGGGATACTAATCATAGCAGATCTCTGATCCTTGGCATCTCTCCATCAGCTTTTCCTTTACTCACCTACTCTAATGCATTGCCACCAGCGGCTTTGGGGATACATTTTTTAAAGACCAGTTTATAAAGAAAAAGCTGAAGAAAAGATGTCAGAGGGCCTGCCCTTAGAAAATTGCTCACCTTGCTTTGGTGTGAGCAGAATGCCTTCCTGGCTGCTCTGCCTTCCTCATTAGCCTGCTAGAAACTAAGATTTTAGAAGAAGAGGTTTGTTAAAGAGAAGGTTTTTATGTGAGCCTCTCAGGGATATGTTATTGGTAAATGTGGTACCCTAATTTTAAAATTATTTCTGGGCCTGAGGAGATGGCTCAGTCAGTGCTTGCCATGCAAGCATGAAGGCCTGAGTTTGGATCTCTATTACTCATATAGAAATCTGGGTGCAGTGGCATGCGCTGTAATCTCAGCACAGGGGCAGAGATGGCTCACTGGACAGTCAGAATTAAGATAATTGCTGAGATCCAGTTTCAGTGAGTGACACTGCCTCAAAAATACCATTGAAGGAAAGTGATTGAGGGAAATCCTGGCATTGACTTCTGTTTTTGTGTACACACATGTGTGCATGCGCGCACATTTTCTCAGCCTTGGTAAGAAAGCCAAACAGATCATGTCATTAATCCTCATTGGGCAAGAATCATTACATGCAAAGATAGCAATGGCCCCAGTCATATGAGTGAGGAAGACAAATACTCACGCTAAACCCTGTCTTCAGCAGTAAACCGCACTGCACTATGAACACGTTTTGGAATGAAAGCGTGGGTGAGGAATGATGATAGGTGAGGACCTTGTCACAATCAAGTCTATTGATTCCCTTCCACAGTTTCTGCACACTCTAGATCAGTCAGAAAGGTCACAGCACAGGCATGTTTCCATCTCCCTAGGTAATTCCAATATGCAACCAAGTGTGGAACCATTACTATAAAGAGGAAGAAGGACAGTTGGAATCTGTAGTCCGAGCCTTCCCTTTATACACTATCAGGGTATTTTGCCTGTGGGCAACTCCCACCAAAGTTCACCTACAGGAGAGACATCAATTTGTCATTTTGGCTTCAGTGTAGAAGAGGACTTTTCCTGGGCAGAGCATAGAGAGGTTGGAATAGGGGAGACTAGCTTCTTCCTTGATGCACCGGACACAAAGGCATTGCCTTCAAAGCACTCAGAGGGCATGGAGAAAGGTTTTCTGGAGCTTGATGAATGTACCATTACGATCTACAATGTCCCCTAAAGGCCCAGGGACTGGAGTCTTGGTCCCCAAACTGGCATCAGATGGAAGTGATGGAACCTGGTGAGGCTTCTGAATAGTCTTTGAGCTTGTAAGAGACTCTGGTCTTTTTTCTCCTTTTTGCTTCCGGCTCACCACATGGTCTCACTGCCATGGGTCAAAGCAACAAACAAACTTTCCAAAACTTCAAGCCCAAATAAACCTTTCTACTTCATACATTTATTTTTTTGTCTTATGAATCCATTACAGTAATGGAAAACTGGCCAACATGATGACAGTTGACATTCAGGAAGTCAGCAGGGTTCAGTGCAGACTCCCAGAGGAACAGCCCATTGGCACCCATGATTTTACCTGTACCCATTAAATCACACAGCAGAGCACAGGGAAATTTCAGACTTTCCTGTGGGTTTCAGGGAGAGATGGATGTAAAGGTTTCTATAGTCTTTCTTGAAAACTTTGATGATGGCCTTCCATACACATTTTAATTTCCCTTCTAAATCCAAAGCTTTCTTCCCCAAGTATCTCTTATCTATGAGAACAATGGAAAATTCTTCCTGTTGCCTTTCATGACTGAAGAACATGTCCCTGGCAATATAATGCCATCTCCCCCTGTCATTTGTCAAGCCTATTCTTAAGGAAGGGGGACAGATAACCTGCCAGTGTTTCTATTAAGAACTTAGACATACCTGAAAATTGGGGCATGCATGTCCCTGAGCTCTCTGCCTGCAGAGGCCCATGAATATAGTCTGCTCATCTGACTCCTTGTGATCTGAGTCCTGGCCTCACTCTACCTAAAGTATTTTTCCAAGTGGGCTAGAAACATGTCTTGTTTACTTATCAACAAATCCTTTGATTGACATGCTGGTAAAATGAAAGACTCTACCATCAGTGGTGGAGGTGACATAGAAGGAAATGGAAGATCTGAGAATGTACATGCTGTTTTAGGTCCATTAGAAATGGGGAGATGGGCATGTCACCACCTGCACTCTGCACAGCTCTCACTGCTGAGCTGAGTGCTGAGTCTCTACTGGCTACAAAGATGGCAGAAACAGTGCTAATGCATGCAAGAGAGGGAGACCCACAGAGGGGGAGCATTGCAGTACTCAGGCACATTTGTGGGTGCTTTATGTAGACCCTGCAGCCCTACTAAGTGTGCTCACCTCACCTCATGCCCCGCCACAGATATACAACAAAACTTCGGACACATCTCTCCTCAAGCTCTACAAGCCTACCCCCAGTGTTAGGGGTATGAAATGTAGATGCTGATTCCCATAAGGCACTGGACCAGCTGTGGGAATGAAGCTATCACAGACGCAGCATCGAGAAGCCAGGATATGGGATGCTAAGGTTGTGTTAAAAATGAGTTATAGATACAGTGATAGTGATCTGACAGAGTCTCCTGTGTAGAGAGGGGTATAGGAGACTCAGAGAACACAGAGCGGGACTGAGAAGGGGAGTGGTGGCAGTAACATGGGTCACAATGTTAAAAAAATAAAACTGATAGAAACTTCTAGGACATAAATCTGCCCTAGACAGGCAAGACAGAGGAAAAGAGAAGGCACATCCATTTTCAGGCCTTCACAGGTGCCTCTGACTCAAAGTCAATAATTGTTCAAGGACGAAGTCTGTGATGAATGTTCAGAAGATGACCCACATCTCCAGACAAGACAAGCAGTGCTAGGAACACCAGCAAATGGCTGCAGGGTCATGTGAGAATAAGACCTGCTCTGGAGGGCAAGTTGGAGGGTTCAAATCCCTAACTTTCCCACCTTCTTTATGGTCTTGCTCTGCTCAGAGGAAGTGCAGAGTGGTCCAGGTTAGAAGTGACTTCCTCTGTATATTGATCCCAAAGGGACTACATATCATTACACAGAGCCGATGCACCCTGTGCTCTCGGACTTCGTTATCAACTTGCAGGAAATGGGTTTCTAGACTTATGAAACTTCTCCTCTATATGCCAAAGACCAATATTTGTATCCTCACCAAGGTGGGTTTGAATGGCTCTAAAGCCAAGACAGTCTTAAACAGAACCCGTGAAACAAACATGGAACTAGCCCTTCACACCCAGTGTCCTACGTATCTTTTGTGCTGCACTGAAATCCACAAATGGCAAACCAGACATGAAAGGCAGCTTAATTCTCGTCGGGAGTCTCTTGGAAACACTGAGGGAGAGCCTGCAGCTATGGCTCAGAAGGTATGAGCACTTGCTGCTCTTCCAGAGGATCTCAGTTCAGTTCCCAGCACCCACATAGCTGTCTATAACTCCAGTTCCACAGGATCCAACCTCCTCTTCTGGTCTCCTCAGGAAGCTGCATACACATGCAACATACATTTGCACAAGCATTTACATATATGTAAATAAAAACAAGATTTTTGAAAAACACTTGAGAAGTCTGTGATTCATGACAGTGTTTCTCAAAAGTCTCTTCATTTATCACATCCACAGTGGCTACCCAATTCTAGCACCTTTCCCCCTAGTCTTCCCTAAATTTTAAGAAATAAATTCATGAAGTCTTCCTCTCTCCTCCTCCTACTTTGCTTTCATTCGGCTGTTGCTCTGCTGCCAGCTACCAAGCCCTGCCATCCCAATTGTTGCTCACACCCATTTACCAAGGCCAAGAATTGAAGTGAGAGGGGTTATGGCTACAACAAAGAAGGCAGGGACCGAGCACCTGGGTTTAGATCTAAACTACCTCACTATACCACCAAGAGATTTCTTATTTTCTTGCTAGATAAAACAGGACAGCAACACAGCACTGAGAAGTTATTCAACCTTGTTAGTAGAATCATTTCAGGCCTGACACATATCCTTCTTTTTTGTGTGTGTGTGTGTGTTTTGTTTTTCGAGACAGGGTGTCTCTGTGTAGTTTTGATGCTTGTCCTGGATCTCACTCTGTAGAGCAGGCTGGCCTCAAACTCACAGAGATCCACCTGGCTCTGCCTCCCGAGTGTTGGGATTAAAAGTGTGTGCCTCCACCACCCGGCAACACATATCCTTAAGATACCTTGGCCATTATGTAAAGCTGGATCGGCCAGCTACATGGTGCTTTAACAATTTCCCAAATCCGGATGCCAGACTCTTCACATTCACCTGGAAAGCTTGTTTTGAAACAGATTCCTGGCTTCTCTATAGATCTGATGACTCCAAATACAGGGGGCAGAGTTCAGAAGTCTGTGTTTTAAAGCTTAGCAGAGAGTTTAGACAATAGTAATGTTTGGCATGCCCTTCTCATGTAGTACATACAAGTCTGAATTGGTTTTCTCTGTATATAAGCTTTGAATTGGTAATGTGGAAACCTAGGAGTCCATTCAGCTGACCTTTAGTGATGGGCAAAAGGCAAACAAAATGCATGGACCCAGAGAATAAGTGTAGGCATCAAAAGGTCTAAAATCATTTATTTCACACAGCTCACCCATACATCAATATCATTTCCCATAAAATGTTAATGGCAATCTAACAGATTAACAGTAAACAAACATATTTTGTTTATTGCTGTGCCTCAAAAGAAATGCTATCGGTTTTAACCAAATGTCTGTTTTTATGTTCTGTCATTTCCAGGCATGAAAGTAACTCAAACAAATCCTAAAGCATACAGAAATGGTCCTCGCTCTTCTGGACTCTACAGCATTGAAAATGAAGCTGAGCAGACTTTATTACATCCCACAATTCTGCAGCTTTTTGCAAAGCATTTTATTGCACTAGTGGAAGCCACTAAGGTTATGTTTCAATCACAATGACTGACAGGCTAACTTCACAAACAGTAGCACAGACTGCCTGCCACAGTTTCTCAGTTATGTACTTAGAATAGGACCTTTTCCAAAACTGTCCCTTAGCCTGGATGAAAATAAAGTGATAGCTAAAATATTTACCTGGTGTTGCTGACTGACTTAAAAATTGATATTTTGAGACCTCCAAAAGGCCTAACTGAAGAAGTTGCTCTTTTGGAGTGAGTATTGTTTCTTGTGAGTCAAAAGTTGGTTATAGTAGAGATTCGATTCAGAGAATTTCATTGGCTGGGTAAGGTAATAGCACAGAAATCATTCCTTGGTCAGATTCTCCTCCTGCTGTCAGTACACAAAAGCAAAGTGGAAGAGTTCAAGATGGCCCAGGTCGCTGCGGGAAACAAGCAAGTACAATGTGCTGCTCATGTATCTTTCATTGTTTTGTGGTTTTGAAATTTTCTTTTCTTTCTTTCTTTATCTACCTATCTATCTATCTATCTATCTATCTATCTGTCTGTCTGTCTGTCTGTCTGTCTATCTATTTATCTATCTAACATTTGTAGTTGGTTGTTTTTACTCTTTGGCTCTTTGGGGGGGGCACCACCCAGCTCCCAAATAAATCACATGGAATCTTATTCTAAATGCCTGGCCTTAGCTTGGCTTATTTCTAGCCAGCTTTACTTAACTTAAATTATCCCATCTACCTTTTGCCTCTGGGCTTTTATCTTTATCCTGTATACCTTTCTTTACTTCTTATTCCATGGCTTGTTGTGTAGCTGGGTGACTGGCCCCTGGATGTAGCTAGAGTTTTCCTGCCTGGCCCACAGTCAGGACAAATCTCTCTCACCTGCCAGTCCCACAGCCGCTCAGACCCGACCAAGTAAACACAGAGACTTATATTGGTTACAAACTGTATGGCCATGGCAGGCTTCTTGCTAACTGTTCTTACAGCTTAAATTAATCCATTTCCATTAATCTATACCTTGCCACATGGCTCGTGGCTTACCGGCATCTTCACATGCTGTTTGTCATCGTGGCGGCTGGCAGTGTCTCTCTGACTCAGCCTTCCACTTCCCAGCTTTATTCTCCTCCTTGTCCCACCTACACTTCCTGCCTAGCCAATGGCCAATCAGTGTTTTATTTATTGACTAATCAGCAACACATTTGCCATACAGAACATCCAACAGCACTCCCCCCCCCCTTTTTTTTTTCAAAAAGGAAGGTTTTAACCTTAACAAAGTAAAATTACATATAATTTGGGAATTTGGGCGTAGCTTCTCTTACTACTTCCTGCTGGAGGGGGGCGCTGTATCTTATGGGGACACAAAGAAAATTTTAGGATTATGGAATAGTCCGTGAGGCTGTATCGTCTGAGCCAGTTGCCTTGAAACCATTCTGGATGTTGGATCATCTGGGCCATGGTGTCATCAGAGACCTTTCAGGGGGTCTTGGCTGGTCAAACCTGATGTATCTTAATCTGGAACAAATCCATAGCCTTTGGCTTTCTGTAGGAACAAAAGCAGAGTCTCCTTTCCAAAACAACATATCCTTATATCCAAATTTTGAAGTCATAGTATCTTTAAAATATACATATTGGTTTAACTCAACATCTTTTATGATCAAATGTTTTTCTGCAGTTAAAAATCCCAAAGACAACACAATCCAGATTCTCTGTGTAATATTCATCTTAACGTGGCTTATTTTTTATATTAATTTTACTGTCTCTTTAAAGACTTTATTTTTTAAAACTATGTATTTGTTTCTATACTGTATATATCACCTTTTTTGTCTCTTTCAAGCCTACGTATATTTTACACACATTTTAAACTATTATATCTGAATCTGTGTTATTGTGAATCTATTGCTTTAAGCTGCAGCAGCTGTGGCTGCTGGCTCCGCCCACCTCAGCTTCCCAACATGGCTACGTTTACCACCAGCTCTGGGAGCTATCATGGGTCTATGCTTTTATCCAAGCAGTGTTTAGTCCAGAAACCTCTTTTTTTGTTTTGTACCTGCAAAGGCTAAATCCACCACGCAGCTTAATGTGCCACTTGCAGAGGCCTCATTCCCGCCATAGGCAGGTCGAGCACGCACACTAGGAACCCACCAGTAGCTCAAACCGGCAGCTGTTGCTCATTTGAGAGAGACAATTAGGAACTGTTTTTAGCTCCGTTTTAGACTCTTCTTTTCTCAGTTTTTAGGTGGAAACTCTTGCCACCACGTTGGACGCCATTTGTAGCTAGAGTTTTCCTGCCTGGCCCACAGTCAGGACAAATCTCTCTCACCTGCCAGTCCCACAGCCGCTCAGACCCGACCAAGTAAACACAGAGACTTATATTGGTTGCAAACTGTATGGCCGTGGCAGGCTTCTTGCTAACTGTTCTTACAGCTTAAATTAATCCATTTCCATTAATCTATACCTTGCCACGTGGCTCGTGGCTTACCGGCATCTTCACATGCTGTTTGTCATCGTGGCGGCTGGCAGTGTCTCTCTGACTCAGCCTTCCACTTCCCAGCTTTATTCTCCTCCTTGTCCTGCCTACACTTCCTGCCTAGCCAATGGCCAATCAGTGTTTTATTTATTGACTAATCAGCAACACATTTGCCATACAGAACATCCAACAGAACCTGGAGTCTTTTTCTCTCCCTCCTTTTCTTACTCCTAGATCTTTTTTGCTTCCTGATCCCTCTTTTTCTTCTATATATTCTCTGCCTGCCATCCCTGCCTATCCTTTCTCTTGCCTTGCTATTGGCCATTCAGCTCTTAACCACTGAGCCATCTCTCCAGCTCGGCGGCCATTCAACTCTTAATTAGACCAATCTTTGTCTGTTTTAGACAGGCAAAGTAACACAGCTTCACAGAATTAAACAAATGCAACAAAAATGAATGCAATACATCATTGCATTATTAAAACAAATGTTCCACAGCACAAACAAATGTAACACATCTTAAAGTAATATTCCACAACAATCGTGTGTATGTGTGTGTGTGTGTGTGTGTGTGTGTGTGTGTGTGTGTGTGGTGTGCCTACTTGCCTCAGTATACTTGTGGAGGTCAGAGCACAACTTTCAGGAACTGGCTCTCTCCTTCTACTTTGTGGGTCTTGGAGATGAAACTTTGGTTGTCAGGATTAGCAGCAAGCACTTTTATCTAATGAGGCATCTTACCAGCTCTCCATCATGTTTTTTGAGACAGGGCCTCTCCTGGAACCTGGGACTCACTGATTATGTTAGGCAGGGCAGTCAACAAAACCCAGGGATCCACCCATCTCTACCTCTCCAAATACTTGGGTTATAGGGCATATAATGCCCTACTTTTTGCATGGGTACTGAGGTCAAACTCAGGTCCTCATGCTTGTGTGGCAGGTACTTTACTGATAGAGCTATCTCTCAGCCCCACACAGAGTGCTGGGAATATAAGGGAAAGGAACAGAGAAAGTACTCAGTATCTGAGTACTTTCAGGAATTGTACCCTTCTCCATCTTGCTAAATTCTTTAAAGAAGGAAATATGAAAGTGGGTCTTTGCTCTGAAATTTTAGAGAAGGGAGTCAGAGTTTGCACAGGTAAATGGTAGCATGGAAACAAATGTCTGGAAAGAGCATTTTTCTTTTCAACACAAGCCCTCTTTGAGAGTTTTCTTTGGCTCATTGGCCACTCCCAGCCTGATACCATCACCAACATACAGTGACTTTGTATCCTGTGACTGCAGAACCTAGGTGACTTAAACCTTAGATTATTCCCTGACACATTAGTCCCGAATCTGGCTGTAGGTAAAGTCTTCTGCTGCTGTTTGTACACTGCCAGTCCTCTCACATTTCTTCTCTTCTCCCCCTGCAGGGGCATGCCTTAGGATACCTGTTATGGACTTGCAGCCACTTGGATATTCCAGTGCCATCATAAGAACACTTTTGCTTACTTCTATCTATAAAGCCCTTGTCCCACATAAGGGTACATTTCACTTATTCCAGGGATCTGAAGGGTTTCTCATTTAAAACCCGCTATTCAATCTACTACTTAGAGTATCTGGTTCTGAGCTGTTTCTGATCTTGTGTAATGTTTCTGATCTTGAATATGACTCAAGGCATCTTGTTTAAAATCTTGCTCTATATCTTTGCCAAAACAGTCACTGGAGGGGACTGACAGTGCCTTTTGACCGAGAAGCTCTTCAGTCCCCAAGCCTGGACTTTATAGCTCTTTTCTTCGCTGAAAGTTAGAAGCTCTATAATCTGAACAGGATGTGCCAAGTAGATACAGTGCTGAGGAACAAGAGGAAATGGAGAACATACCCAGAAACCCCCCCAGCTGGAGGTTTGCTGATTGGTCAGTCAAACAAAAACCCTAAAGCGATCATTCCTCTATCATGGAGCTCAAATGCAATGTGTTACTCTCTGGTTTTTGTAGCAAAAGGACTAGCAAGGCTGTTCCTGCCTCTGCAGTTAACTCTGTTCTGCACCCGCCGGCTCTGACCCACCGGTGAATAATCATGTCGCCACAGGGAACAATTAGCTGAGTCATGCTGCGAGTCATGGTTTGGTTTTCCATGTTGTCTGTGCTATCAAAACCCTGCAAAGTTCCTACTTTGTTCCTGCCTCTTTCTCCATGAGTCTCCTCACCTCAGTCTTTGCCTAACTCTAGCCCCATTGTGAAATGTGTTTCTATTCCCTCCAAATCCATTCATTGAAACAGTGTGAAAGGATGAGGCAGTCAGGGCCTTTGGGAAGTGTTAGATCATGAGAGCACAATCTCTTATAGAGAATACATACGTCTGCCTGCCCTCTTCACACCCTGTGAGCACTCAGTACCATCTATGAACCAAAAGTGGGACCTCACTGAACATACAGTCTTTGAGCACCTGTATCTTGGACTTCGTGCCTCCAGGACTCTGAGAAAGGAATGTCTGTTGTTTAGAAGCTATCTTGTCAGCTGTGTTTTGTTCCAGGTGGTGTCAAGAGACTCTGGTTTACTTTGAACTGCAAAGATAAGGCAGTTGGGAAGAGCAGGCCTTGTTTCAATAAGACTGTTGATCCTGCACTAGGTGTTTGGGAATTGCTTGGAACCTGTTCTTGTCCATCACGTCATACCTTCCTCCATGTCATATCATACACACTGCTTTCAGAACATCCTCCTGACAGGCATTGTGCTAGA